AACATCAGGTACACTACTGCGTAATGATACTGGAAGATCCAATCAGCGTAAAAATAGATTCTACACAAAGGTACAACAAACCTGAAATAGCTGCTTCATTTTGGTGTTTCCCTCCGCTCGCCCCTAATTTGTTAGCTACGTTTTATAAAAGTTTCTTCTTCGTTCAACAACCTTATGTATTTAACCATAACGTCAAGTTGTTGGTGGTCACTTTTAATAAAATTATGCTAACTTTCAACTGTGATTTTATCAGTCCCTGCTAAATGTGGATGAAATTTTGGTATAACGTTGGAAAAAATGAAATTCAGTAATATTTACTTGAACAGGCGTAATAAGGACTGCGACTGTGACACCGACGATGATAAAACTGTTGAACATGTGAATCTGTGTGCAGATATAAAACAATAATCACCGTCCAGAAGGCAAATAAATATAGCAATTTCAATTTTTGATGACTTAAATGACTGGTTGCTATGAAGTTTCAAGAACAAAACTGGTAGAAAAGTTTTTCAGAAAACAACAGAAACACAATGCTGGAGACAGACAACAAAACTGTTGTGATGAACTAGAGCAAATATTTAAGTGAGAGCATATGTAGTTTCCTTAAGCTTTATAACAGAAGTAAGAGTTCCGACTAGCTCTAAAATTTCACTTTTTTTTTAAAAAAAACAACAACAAAATAAAATAAACGACATGTGTATCAAAGGAATTTTGGAAATTAAACCCCGGCACTACCATTTATCTTCATTTTCTTTAAACAATATGCTGCACCACACTGATCCTCACAGTTTACAGCTCAACAAAATAAGCTTCAAGAGAAAAAACAAAAAGAAATAAGAAAAAAAGATATATTTAACCTTCGACAACCAAATTCCCTCCCACTAACAAAACCATTACATTCAAAATACTTTTAAAAAAAATTCAAAAATAAATTTTTAAGATCTTTACAAATTGCATTTCACTATATTCGTCCGCTGCGTCACAGATGCTTCCATCCTACAAGACTAACCGATGTAACTGCACCTCAGTTGTAACGCGTAACAGCTTTGATCCCATTGTTTTTTATACAAAATTCTGTAAACGACAGCTCTTTTTAACTGTCATCCAAATAGAATTATAACAGTTAATATCTTTGCATAATATACATTTCAGCTATCAACAAGAAAAAAATGATTCTTAAACAAACTGTTTCGCTGAATATTTCTTTTAAATTCATGCACCACAATGTGACAACATTACAGCAAACCTCCCCCCCACGGATACTCGCAGATCACGACTACAGAAGGAACGAAAAAAATGTAATAGATACACCACCACCCAATGTTCAAAAATACTTGTTTACCTTTAGCAGTTGCTAACGCACAATCAAAATGCGAAAATTCGTCATTACCCGCATCAAAATGCGAAGTTGTATGCCTACCTAAATCTCGCGACCGGTAAGAAAACTTACTCGACAATTTCTGACCTATCAAGAAACAAGCTAATTGATTCAACTACTGATGTTTCCTCGCCTAACTTCCTAAACTTCCAAAGCCCCAAAACTATTTATTTCAAGAAAGTGAGATAAGGCTGAATTACCATATCATAAAGCAGAAGTAAACTACAAACTGCACCGAGTTACGTTTCTAAAAACTGGTAACGTACCCAAAAAAACATCTAAAAGTCAAAAAAACACTCGCAAAGTTGTTTTCAAAGCTCCGTGACAAAAAACTGATAAGGGTTTAATGTGTAATGAATTTTGAACACTATGCTGAAAGCTTCACCTTTGCAATAACAATAAAAAGAAAGAAATAACCACTTCTATAACCAGTCGCAAAAAAGTAACTTGTGAATAACCAAAAACACTTAAACAAACCCGCAACCTTTAAGCCGTGTGTATCTACCAAGTCAATATACTGAACTTCTTCTATTATCCGTATGAAAAAACATTCCTACAAAAATTACAAAAAAAAATTGTATTAATAAATAACACAAAAAGAACATTGTAAAAGTCAATAAGAGGTAGCTAAGCCAAAGGAACTGCAGATTTACAAAATAAAATTCAAAAAAAAATAAAAATAAAAGCTAAAACAATAAGAGTTTAAAAAACCAGCAAACATCCAATTCAGAAACAAATTTTTTTAAGAAGGGAAATTTTCTTCGTGCGCAAAATAAAAAAAAAAAA